AAAAAGCAAAATTAAAGGAATTTCTCCACATACAGCTTCGTGGTTTATGGGAGCTGCTGCCATATCTTTGGTTCCCTTTTCTTGTCTTGAGAGGAGGATGTGTAGGTTTACCTCCTGATGTGGCTTCTGTTTACAGACGGAACAGTTGACTTTGGCTGATGTTTGCGGTTATCTCCAGGAACTGATGTTTGCTGCAGAATAGCAGACACGGCCTCATTGTGGCCTGGAATTTTTATTCCACTGCCAGTTCAAATGAGGCTCCCCTTTTGTTCTGTGCAACCGCATGCTGCCTCTGCAGTTTCTCTTCAAGGCTTGACTGTTTGATACGCATCAGCTGAGAGTTAAACAAAGGCCGAGGCCTAGGTCTCAAGTAGCAAGAGGAAGAAGGGTGCTTCCTTATCAGCCAATGCCTTATCAAATGCTTACTGGATCTTGAAATGATCTTTGACTCCGGCTAATAAGCACTTAATTGACTGATCCCACTTTGGGTCTTCCTGCCCAATTTGCGATACTCCATGTGAACAAACCTATAATCATTGGTGAATACAAGGAGAAACCCTTGTGTGGATCACTATGTCTGTCTGCTGGCATGGCCTGGAAGACCAGTCCTCTAGCCAACAGTTCTAGCATGTGAATGCAAACACAGACTTTTGTCTTAGAGAAATGTCTTAAAAAGATGCACTTGAGCTCAGGGGTGGATTCAATGAGGAAGGTATGTTTACCTGGCTTACTGGGTACTCCATCCAATCACGGACTGTAAATTTGAAGAGGCTTTGAATCTGTTGGAAGACGCTATGGGGTTGGGAGAGAGACAGAGCCCAGCCATTCCGAGAAGCAGAATCTCGGATGTGGTGGAAAAAATGTGAAATTGTTCACTCTAGATTAGTAAGTAAGCACAGGAAAGCCTGTACTTAGGTTGATTTTGGGGTGATCCAGCATTGTTCCAACCATATTAATGCCTGCCATTCCTTCATGTGCTGGTGACCAACAATAAGCACCTCTCACTTTAACCATTTCCTATCAGCTCATCATTTCCCCAGGGCAGGTGGCTATATTACCGTGCACCAAGATGGACTTTCTGTGCTGGTGATCTGACTATTCAGCAGCATGTATGCGTGCCACTCACACCGCCTTCAATGGAAGGGCTCGTAAATTCCGATTATAAGAAGGTTCACTTTGATTTTAAAGTAGATCCATGGGTCAAGATGGTGAATAGTATTTTAATGTAACAAGTAATTTTGTAAACATTACAGGACATGATATTTGTGAAGTACCCCTTTCCTGTAATGTGTGCCATACACAATTGTAGCGGTTTTGTCATTTGGCAGTTTACATTCTGTGGTTTACTGTGTGAATTTGGTTCATTGACACCATTATGAGGATTAGCAAAGACACGCCATTGTTTCTTCTAATTCTAGTCCAGCCTGGAGTGCTTTGTTTTCTTTTCCGACGCTCAGGAACGTGTGAGATAAGTGGGCCTTGAGAGAATTGATCACGGATTTGCTTTCAGTTAAAATACCTGAATTATCTGAGCTCTGTGAAGCCCTGTGACCACCTCAGAGTCAGAGGTTCAGGTTCTACCTTCTTCTGACTTATTCCAAGACCTACCCAGAGTTTATATGAAGAGCTCTCAACAGCTCCAGTCCAATCCAAGGATATATTTTTAACGTTTCAGAAAACCAGACATTTGTTAGGTATTTGCTCAGGCTTGGTTAGCTTGTACCAAGGGAAATAAAAGCATCATTTAATCCAGTTCAAACATATACACAAAATTAAATATTTCCACTAGGTTCTATTTGTGACTCTGATAATCAGTTGCTTTGTTTCATTTTGTTTTCCATTCATAAAATTTGTATTCCACTTACATCAACTTAATGCATGGTGTTGACAATTATGCTTAGATTGCTTGTGAAAATTTTGTAACACATTAAAACTCGCCGTCATGTCAAGTAATTTTCCTGTCAA